GCAGTAATTATATTGAATTCTACTGTATAGTGCATTAATGCAATGTCGAATTTTCAATTCAATTGTATAGAATATGAAGGATGTTTGATTTTTACTTTTATAGTTATAATGTACACTGAAGATGGCATTTAATTTCGTTGTATGAGGTGCAATGACAATAAAGTAAAGTAAACTAAATAAACCTTTAGGGTTCTAGCTTCTTTTCTCCAGCCCAGTGCATGGAAGAGGGTAGATTGCCTTCCTGCAGGCAGTTTTTCAGTCTGTCTATTTAATGACCCCTACAATTGCTTAACAGCCACAAATGCCGTGTTTCCCCAAAAATAATACAGGGTTCTTATTTTCTTTTGACCCCCAAAATAAGCACTTGGCCTTATTTTCGGGGAGGTCTTATTATTTTTTATGTGCAGAAGGCATCAAGCATGGTCACCTCATGGCTGCTGCTGTGTTGCAATATTTTCAGGGAGGGTTTATTTTCAGGGGAGGGCTTATTTTAGCACATGCGCGCAAAAGCCCAATTAGGCTTATTATCCAGGGAGCTCTTACTTTCAGGGAAGGAGACGGGAATTGTAGTTGTTGAGCGAAGCAGTTATGTGATGTATGGCTTAATGACTTCAACCACCTACAATCAAAATTCTGAACCATAGTACTTGTATATTGCCAAAGCTTGTTGTTAGCACATGAAACAGCTATGCAGGGTTTTAGTCTACAAGAAATCTAATGGCTCCCTAGGACATACCATCTACCTGAAGAAAACACACACTAACCGCTANGAATAGAATAGAATAGAATGGAATAGTTGGAAGGGACCTTGGAGGTCTTCACCACTTCAGACAAATGGCTATCCAACTTGTTCTTAAAGACTTCCAGTGTTGGGACATTCACAACTTCTGGAGGCAAGTTGTTCCACTGATTAATTGTTCTAACTGTCAGGATATTTCTCCTTAGTTATAAGTTGCCTCTCTCCTTGATTAGTTTCCACCCATTGCTTCTTGTCCTACCCTCAGGTATTTGAAGGTTTGACTCCCTCTTCTTTGTGGCAGCCCCTGAGATATTGGAACACTGCTATTATGTCTCCCCTAGTCCTTCTTTTCTTTAAACTAGATATACCCAGTTCCTGCAACCATTCTTCATAAGTTTTAGTCTCCAGTCCCTAATCGTCTTTGTTGCTCTTCTCTGCACTCTTTCTAGAGTCTCCACATCTTTTTTAATTGTTTTTTTTTACATATTTTTTTTATCATAATACCTTTCTCTTCTGTCTTTCAGACTCCAGAGAAGAATCTGGGAAAGTTTCTTCCTAGAGACAGGGTTTTATAGTCTCCATTGTTTGATCAACTGGTTAAAATATGCAAACTCCCTATCTTCAGAAGAGGTTTGGGCGCATTTTTAAAATTATTTTGAGGCAAGGGACAAAAACAATTTACTACATTGGATCCCTCCCCCCCCCCCTTGAGATGAGGAGATGGGAAGTGAAAAGAGGAGATAGCAATCTTTTCACTTTCTCCTTGAAGGGGTTTATCACTTTGATACATAGTTTATACACGTACACACAAAAACCATTTTCTTTGGAGTGATTTGTTATTGCACAATGACCTCTATACATGAGAGAGCAGGCTTTTACCCTCCTTTGCTAATATGTCATTCCAACTCAAGGTCCAAGAGTAGCCAGATAGATATTCTTCCTGTTATGCATTATTTCTGAGATTCTTTCTATTGTTCATTTGAAGGAAATAATTTCCAGGCCTTGCTGGTTGACTTTTTGGTAATGACTCTTTCTTCTCTTATGAACATGAGCACAAAGCTTATGTGATATAGCATAGAAGAGAAAGAATAGCAAATTCAAGTAATTGATCTTTCTATATGTAACATATAGGGACAGATCAACATATCTACCTACCAGAGGATGGTAGAGGACAGGAAGGCCTGGAGGAACGTTGTCCCTGGGATCGCAATGGGTCAGACACGACTTTGCAGCTAACAACAACAATATTTAAAAACTTGTTTCTTAGAGAAAAATGAACTGTCACATTACAGTAGGAAACAATAAATATATTTTAAATGGGATCTTCTGATCTCATCTTATCAACTAGTATCTGACTTTGGTGCTTTTTAGACAGAAACTAGCTACATTTCTGGAAGAACAATTGCAAAACCTTAGAAAGCCACCTTCTGCTTTATCTCATTAGCAGACATAGCCGATTCTCAGAAGACAGAACACTATTTGTAAACATGGAAATATCAGCGGAATAATGCTTTCCTTGTATATTAAAGACAATACTGTATGTTTTTCCTGTTTCCATTTATGTATAGACATATTGATATACCAGCAGGAACTCAGCTTTTACATAGGAATTATAACCCACTTCTGTCAATTATTAAGTAACATACAAAAGTAAAAGCTGCTAAGATTAAAATAAAATAGTAATATACAGTAATATTCAATAATGCAAATTATAATTAAAAAATGTTAATGTTCCTGTCAATCCCAATGGTGATGTGGAATAGATACGTCTTACAAGTTTCAGGAAGGAACCTAATTTGTTTCAGGGACCAATTGCTCTATAGAAAAGTAGCCCCACACAGAACTTTGTATTAACGTTTTGATTCTTTCTAATTTCAAGGAACAACAGCAACAATCCAAAAATAATTAAATAATCCATTAATGTGGATTGAAAGAAGCCTATTCAGAAAATACAATGGCACATTAACAATTAGCACTTTTACTGGAACATGTGTATACTTTAGCCTTAAATTATTTAACCTCTGTAGAAAGCCAAAGAATGGAATATTTTTATCAGTTTTAATATTTAATTCATTATTTGAAAGGGTTATGTGTCTTATTTTTGAAATTATAAATAAATGTTGGTGATGAAAGAACATGTTAATATTTTCCATTTTTCCACATGAAGTTATAATTAGTGCAGGCAGTTCTTCAACAAGCTCAGTTATGTTTACTGAATACAGAAATTATCAAATAAAGGAGTACTTGAAACAGTACCCCACTCAGGAAATTGAAGTTGGAAAGGGGGGGGGGGGAATCCTCTAAAGCCATCCAGAAATACTCATTTTGGAGAGGAGAGAAGAGAAGAGAAGAGAAGAGAAGAGAAGAGAAGAGAAGAGAAGAGAAGAGAAGAGAAGAGAAGAGAAGAGTAGTGAGAATTATTTACAGAAATATTAGTACAGGAAATATATTTGCAATATTTATCCATCCAGGTTTATCTGATCTCATTTAAATAACGCCATATAAATTACTTGTTATTTGTTACAGTAATATGCAGGTTTCTCTTTAGACCAGACCAGAGCACTCACAAAATAGGGAGTTTTGGTAGACTTCCAATTAATTATTAATTAATATTTAATTTAATTAATATTTCAATTTCCCCCAGAGACAAGGCAAGCACTCACTCTCCTGCCCTTCCAGAAATACCTCAAATCTCTGCTGACTCATTTGGGGATGACAGAAATGCAGACTGGTTAGTGCTTTGAAGGCCTTTCCCCATATTTTAACTGTGGATTTTAAATAATTTATTATTGTTTTAATCCACTTTGTATTATAATACACCATTCATATGTCTTATTTTTACAATGACAATTCAAATGAGTGAGTTTGCTTAATGACTTGGGCATTTAAAACTGCAGTGTTGACTTAATAATTGTGGTGTTTGCTTAACTGCCATGAAAAAGATTCTGATCACCAAAGATGTGTTGACTTACAAACATAATGACTTATGTAAGTCAGGGCTTAATTATAGTTTTAATATTAGGATTAATTATATACATTCCTGAATATATATTTCAATTGACACTTAATATCATTGAATTTTACAAAGAATAGAATGTTTTAATACCTGATACATTATTTATAAGTATTACATATCTTATCTTTGATAAAGATATCTGGTAAAGAAATAACCTTTTAAAGGTTATTTAAAGAAATAACTGGTAAAGAAATAACCTTTTAATATTTTCAGTTTCTTCTAGTAAACTCATTGCGTTTTTAGGAAGTTCTTCGGTAGCTCTTTTCATATTAAATCAAATATCTCCAGTTCTCAAGGACAGAGCTTCAGGTATTTATGGGTTACTTCCAAGATCAGAAAGTCAAAGTTGCAAAAATAACTAAAGTCCTAAAACAATTGTTTCAAAAAATACAAGAAAACAAAAGAAAAGAGGGTAGTGAAATTTCATTAAATACATGATAATGAGAATTACTACTATTCACAGAAGCACAAGTACAGGAAATATATTTGGAATATTCTCATTGATTCTAAAATTTTCTTTAAAATCAAATTTCCTTAAGAAGGAAATGAATCAAGAATTTTTGAAAATTATACCTTTTGTCCTAGAAAGTTAGAAAAAGCTCACTTTCTTCTTTTAGAGCAGAGGTGTCAAACTCGCTGTATCACAGCAGTATCGCGTGACATAGTGGGACTTTTTTTCCTTTTTTAAAACCTTTTTTTTTCATTTTTATAACAAATAACCACCTGTATACTATTACATAACTAACATTATTTTATATTATTAAATATTAACATCAATTCTAAGAGCCAAGGTGGCGCAGTGGTTAAATGCAGCACTGCAGGCTACTGCTAGATCAGCAGGTCAGCAGTTCAAATCTCACCGGCTCAGGGTTGACTCAGCCTTCCATCCTTCCGAGGTGGGTAAAATGAGGACCCAGATTGNAGTTGCTCTCTGTAGATGGCCTGGGTGCTGACGGAAAAGCTTTTTCCATAGCTACCTTAATTCTGGAATTCTATTTTTCTGTCCTGAAAAGTTAGGATGGCTCCCTCCTTACTAAGACACCAGAAAATAGGTTGCAGAAATTTGACATTAGCACAGATCCTGAAAATTGTGGTTTCATGTCTACTAGTATTATATTATTTGGCTTTTATGTTTTCATGTTCAAGTATTTTAATTTTATAATTTTTCAATGACGTTTTGATTTTGGGAGCTACCCAGAACCTTCTGAAGTGGGTAGCCTTCTTTATTAATTTTTCTCTTTCCCATAGTTGCAATCATTTGGATGTATACTGGTACCAGGATAATTACTGCCAAACACGTGTCCAAAAGACTGCCCTGGGCCTTGGTCTTGCCCTGGCTGTGCTCTTTGTGGTCAGTACCATCCTGACTGTGTTCCTCATCCGAAACAATCAAAAAAAATTTAAGAACAGGTAAGAAGTTTATGTATGCATAGTAGTAACATCAAAAATTGACCAAGGTCCTTCTGACAGAAGATGCTTTAATAATTTAGAATACCTGAAATTTTTCAGAGCAATATATGGGACAATGATTATTTTGGATTATTTAAGAGATGAAAAGCCTACCACTACTAATGAACCAAAGAGCTGGCAGCTCAAGGTGAAGAAAAACTCCTGATTTCAATGTTTGTTTATTCCAATCATGTATATGTTTTTTTCTTGTAGATGGTTTGATGATACTGAAGTCTGGTATGGACAAGAAACAGAAGAAGAGTGGATACCATCTGTGGGCCTGATCATCATAAATGAACCAGAAATTTCATCCTGGAATGGTAATTATTTATTCTATCATGAAGGAGAGGAATTAGTGGCGAACACAGAAATTTAGTCTGTTGAGTCACAACTGGTTCCCCAAAGCAAGGATTCAAAGCTTTGATGAAAACCAAGGAACTGCTAATTATCTATTCAGAAAGACCATTATTGGGTTGAAGGGGGTTTCATGCTTACAACCAGTAGATCATTTTACACTGCTCTGGATTTTTCTTTAGAACATCAAAAACAAAATAAAACCCTGAAACCATATTTCAGCTCAGAAGATACTTCAATACAGGTATGTATACTGAATGCGTTTTTTCAAAAGAAAGCAGATAGTGTATGTGGTCTAATCTGGAACAGGGATCAAAACATATAGGCTTATGAAATATGCCGAGTGTGTAGAATAGAATTTGTTCACCCAGGGTTGAATTCTTATTTTCAATTTTGATTGGAATCATGTCAAAGACAAAAGTAAGCCTTAATTGCAGCCTAATTTTAATAACTGCAATTCATCCTAACCAAAAGACACTGTTAATCTTCTTTGTTTTGAGACATCTGCCATTATAATTTTTCAGTTCTGTGAATAATTAGATTTAATTACATCCTTATTATGTGGTGTGTTTCCTATATACATTAGTTAACTAATTAGCAAAAAGTTTATTTATTTCTTCTGCTTGGTTAAGTGGCCTATAGTATACACTTTTGGCAGCACCATTTTTTCCCTTTTATGTTGATCCATATACATTCCAGAAGGTTCCATCCTTTGTTGTGTGCATCTCTGTAGTGAGGAAGCGATCTCTAACATATAATACAACTCCACCTCCTCTTTTGTTAGGACTGTTTCTTTTGAATAGTTTGTATCCTCCTATTAGCACATTCCAGTCATGAGTTTCATCCTACCAAGTTTCAGTAATGACAACTAAATCATACTTGCTCTTGCATTTTTCCTGAAATTTGAGCATTAGTTTATAGGTATTTAAGTTCTTTGTGGATTACCCTGGGTATGCTTCCTACATCTCTTACTTTGCACCTGTGTTTTTCGTTTCTTTACTACCTACTTCCTTATTTGATTGTTTATCTAGTGATTTATGCTTGGAATTAGGACCTAAAGTTCGTGAAGATTGGTCACCTTCCCCCCTCAATTTCCATTTAATCTTCCAATAAGATGAGCCACATGTCTTTCTAATATATCCTTTCTGGTTCTTGTGAGGTACAGTCCCTCCCTTGCCAGGAGTCCTTCATGTAGGTAAGGCAGGCCATCGTGGAGGAACCTGAAGTTTTCTTAATGATAACAATTTTTAAGCCAGTGGTTCATTTCTAAAGGATTTCTAAAATCCTTTGCTCTTTCATTGGATATTGGCTTTTTGTTGGAAGTGTACAGGTAACCCCTAAGTTACAAACGCCACTTAGCACCTGTTTGAAGTTACATGATAAGCGCCCCCTATTGTTTACAAATAAGTTCTGAAATTTGAAAGTTGAAGTGAATTTGTTCCTTTTTTATTTGAAAGAAAGGTTTCCCCATGATGGCCTATATGGTACCCATTATCACCATAGGATATAATTTGCCAAAGCACTGTTGGGAATGGTGCCTGTTGGGAAACAGTTTTTACAATCACGGGCAATAATTAGAACCTATTTTGGTTGTCCTTAGGTTGAACTTGCTAATGGCCTTCTATACACATACATACACACACACACACACACACACACACAGAGAGAGAGAGAGAGAGAGAGAGAGATAAATATATTTCCCTGTCTTATGAAACTTGACTATTACCTAACTAAGCAAAGTACCTGCATTGCAGAAATACAGATGATCACAAGAGATCAGCAAACAGATACAGAAAAGTCTAACTCTCTTTTCACTATCCAGGTATGGTAGGTCTAATAATGTAGTTATATATTGCTGTCAGATGATTTAAAAGAGCAAGCCTAGTTTCAAACAATTTTTTTTCTCATAGACATTAGAATTAAATGTATATTTCTGTTTGCAATTGTATTTCCAGAAACCAACAATAGCAGCTAACTACCGATTTTCTACTGAGACAACCAACAAGTTTATGCCTGATTTTCAGAGCTAACATAAATGTATTGGCAAATAAACTGCGATATCAATAAAAATCTGATTGTTGGGAACCTGGTTCCCTGAAACTGTGCAATATCTAATTTATTTTTTAAAAAACCTCAATAATCCTATATAATTAACTGCATATATTTAAGGTATAATATTCCCATAGATACTTATTTATTAATCCAATTATATTAATATTATGTTATATACACTTAAATTTGTAATTTAATATATGTATATTTTATATATGAATAAAATAGTTAAAAATGAATTTTGGTAATGTTTATGGAGTAATATGCTTAGATATGCTTGGCTTTACAAGACCAGCTAGAAAGACCTGCACATGGATTAGAGAACAAATGAAAGTATACGATATCATCAAGAGAGTAAAAGCATTGAAATGGAAATGGGCTGGTCACATGGCAAGAAGAACTGATGGCAGGTGGACCAAGGCAATCACTGAATGGATCCCACTTGATAAAAAGCATCCACAAAAAAGATCTAAAACAAGATGGATCAATGACATCAAGTATTATGGGCCCAGTTGGCAAAAGGAAGCTCAGGACTGTACAGATTGGAAACATGCAGAAGAGGCTTTCCTCCTGCAGTAGACAGACAATGGCTAAGATGATGATGATGATTGATGATGATACATGAAAGAGAAGTAATGTGAAACATGAATAAAACCTATTTTTAAAGAACTCATCAGTCATGAAATTAATGACTGATAAATTAATTCATAAAAATCAATTTGTAGCAATGATTGTTAATTCAATGGAAACTGCAGGTTTTCTTCTAGTGGAAATTCAATATATGATATTGAGGAATTGGTTATCATGAAGAAATTACAGTAGTTTTTTTTTAATGAGAAATTCATTTGTTCCCAATAAAAATGGGGAGAACTAAAGTTATGGCAGAAATAAACATACCTAATTATATAGCAATGTGGGATGGGAGTTTAAAATCTAAACCTGATGTTTAAGCAATTTTATATAAATAAAAGAACTCCAAATGCAACCCTGTAGGAGAATCTGAGAGCATTTATTATTATATTATAAACCTTTTGTTAGTAACTGGTAATAAGGGAAATATTTGGACAGAAAGCAGTTAAAACTAAGTGCATATAGTGTTTTTAATTTTCCTTGCACAAAGAATTGTTAAGTGCCAGATCTGAAGCCCCTGAATTCTAATCTATGTGATACAAAGAGCCAAGCCAGAGGTTGAAATGCAGGGCAAAGAAGAAGAACTTAGAGCAGGATTCCATAGAAACACAAGTGTGAAGCAGGAGAACTGTTTCAACAAAGAGCAGAAAGGCACAAGTACTTTTTTATATATAGCCCCAGTTGTGGGTTCAGGGCAATTCACTGTGGCCAGATGGGCACGAACAGGTAGACATAGTTGGTGTGTGCAACTAGGTTGGTGTGGGTCGGTCAGTGTGGATGAGTTGGCATGGCTGATAGCAATAGCAATAGCAGTAGACTTATATACCGCTTCATAGGCCTTTCAGGCCTCTCTAAGCGGTTTACAGAGAGTCAGCATATTGCCC